ATGGGCGCGGCGGCACCGAGGGAGCGGGCGTTGGCTCCGCGGGCCCAAGTCACCGCTGCGGCTGTGCTCCTGCGGCTGCGCATCCAACTGGGCCAGCAGGCTCGGGTGCAGAGAGTGCGACAGGCGGTGCTCCACCAAGGTCGAGGACGCCTCCAGGAAGGCTCACAAGGAGGCGCTCAATGTCGGGCCCGAGCCGGGCAGCCACCCGCAGCCCCGACGGGCCTGGGCGCGGCAGAAGCTGGCCCCGTGGGAGCACGACAAGCTCCAGCGCCAGGACAGCGAGCTGGCCGCTCTACGGCAGCAGGTCGAGGCGCCCAAGGCCGACAGCGCCAAGGCCAAGCTCACCGCCCTCAGCGATCTCAAGGTGGAGCTGTAGAAGCTGGGTGGAGGCGAGCAGGCCACGAGCTGGGTCAAGGCCGTGGAGGCCAAGTACTCCGAGCCGCCCAAGCTCAAGAGCCCCCCAGCCTTGGAGGGGCAGCGCAGGAAGCTCGAGGGCCAGCACCAGAAGGCCCTCGCCAAGATCGCAGAGCTCGAGGACCAGCGCGCCAAGCTCGACCAGCGGATTTTCGAGGCCAAAGACTCGGCCGCTGAGCTCAAGAGCAAGCTGCAGGCGGCGGACGCCGAGATCGAGTCCCGCCATGCCGCTGGAGCCCTCGGCGATGGGCTTAGGGGCATGGCCAAGGTCCTTTAGCAGTTCAAGGCTACGACGGTGGAGAACCAGGCTGTTCTGCAGGGCCTCATCCAGCTGCAGGGCGTCGTCAAGAAGGAGCAGGAGACCCTGGACGCCGCGGACGACGCTGCTCCTGGCGATGGCGCTGGCGATGGCGCTGCCGACCCAGGCAGCGGGGATCCACACGAGGGAACCCCTGGCAGTGCGGGGTCAGGGGGGGAGTCTGTCCCCGTCCCTGACGAGCTGGTCGACAGTCTCATGGAGGACGCCCCAGAAGGCGAGAGCCTCGAGCAGCGCCGCAAGCGCTTCTGCGACATCATCGGGGCCCAGCTCAAGCGGCCTCGGGTTTGATAGCATGTGGCTCTACTCTGTCAACGCGAACACAGAAGGGCTATCGGGACTTCCTCGACTGGCTGGACGGCCAGCACAGTCTCGAGGCTGCAGGGCCGATGAGGAGGCCAGTCGCCGACGTCACCTTCGTGCAGGAGACGCGTGTGCGTGAAGTTGGCAGAGAGGCAGTCCAGCGTTGGCATCGGAAGCGTGGCTTCGACTTCGACCTGGCCGCGGGACTCAGCACGGGAGATGGGCCTCAGTCCGTCTCAGGTGGGGTAGGCATTGGTGTGCGGCAGCGGTTCGCGGCAGCCACATTCGACACCAAGTTCCAGCAGCCCCACCGCGTGCTCCGACGGGTGGTCAACATTGGCGACGGGCTCGCCATCGATTTCATGTCGATCTACCTCCGCGACGGGGAGGGCATGAACGAGGCCAACGCGGACATCCTCTGGGAGGTCGCGTCGCAGCTCAGGGTGGCCGCGCGGCCGTGGATCCTGGCGGGCGGCTTCAGCATGGACCCCCATTCCAGGTCGCGGCGTGGGCGGCGACGGCTGGAGGACTCGCGCTACACACAGGGACGCCTACCTGCAGGGCGGGGGCGCTCAACGAGCTCGACTACGCAGTCATCTCCGACGAGCTCCAGCAGTTCGTGTTCAGCCACGGGCCCGTGGTCGAGGCCCCCATCGGGCCGCACAGCCCCGTGCTGCTGGAAGTTCGTGGGCTGCATGCAGATGCCACGGTGCAGCGGCTACACCGCGCGGCGCGGCTGCCGTTCGACCGTGCCATCGGATGCCTTCCTTGGGTCCCTCTGCCTGCCTGGACCTGGGAGGAAGGCGCGGTCCCCCCCAGCCCGCGGGCTGCCATGCAGGAGTGGCTACGGCACGCTGGGGGCTACCTTCTCCCGCTCCACGACCTGCACGGGGACGAGGCCCAGAAGTCCGCTGGCAGGGCCGATGGAGCGCGCTTCGTCGACGTGTCGCTCGCCGACGCCAGCCGCCGTCGTTGGGCCCAGCTCAGCTCGCATGAGACCCACGCCTGGGGCGGGCTGGTCAACCTGCTGCAGCGCGCGGACCTGCTGGTGGCGCGTGGGAAGGACCTACAGGGGCTGGCCAGCCTGCGCGCCCGCCTGGCAGCGCTGCGCCTGGCCGACTACGACGGCAGCATGGCCCCTGTGCCCAGGGGCGAGCTGGGCGCTGCGGCTACCTCCAGAGATGCGACATTGAGGAGGAGGCTCATCGAGCACGCCAGGGCCCAGCTGCAGGCCAACCAGCGCAGCGACGCAGCTGCCGCCAGGCGGCAGTGGCAGGCCTGGGCCAAGGGCTCGGCCTCAGGCGGGGGGAAGCTCGCCCATCGCTTCTCCAAGCCTGAGCCGCTGGCCAAGGCGACCCTCGTCATGGAGGGCGAGGACGAGGGCGACGCGCTGCCCGTCAACGGCGACGAGGCGGTGCGGCATTGCCTCAAGGAGTGGCTCCCGCTCTGGCTGGACCCTCGGCGCCGAGGAGGCCTCGAGGAGGCGGCCAGCTGGGGGGGGGCGCCCGAGCCGCTGCCGAGCCTCGAGGTGGACAGCCTCAGGTACCTGCTCAAGCGGTACGGGAGGTGGGCAGGCCTGGGGTGGGACCAGCTCCACCCGAGGCAGCTGCTCCTCCTGGACGAGTCCTTCCTGGCCAGGCTCCACGACGTGCTGGCCAGCTGGGAGGACGGGCCCGAGGCCTACCTGGACTGGCTCGCTGTCATCGTCTTCCGCGCCAAGGCAGACGGCGGCAGGAGGCCTATTGCCCCCACTTGCCTTCAGATTCGCCTTTGGTCGGCCCTGCGAGGGCCCATCGTCAGGGCATGGGAGGCGCAGCACCACGAGGTCTGGTGCATTGGCGGGGAGCCGAACACGTGCGAGAGGGCTGGCTGGGCGCACCAGACCCTCACGGCCCTGGCCTACGAGAAAGGGCTCAGCACGGGCACGGCCATGGGCGACTTACGGAAGTTCTACGAGAACATCAGCCACAAGGAGCTCTTGGTGGAGGCGCAGGCCACTGGCTTCCCTGTCAAGCTCCTCAGGGCACGCTGTGTCTCGTGCTCAGGCTACAGAGTCAACACGGTCGATGGGGCCTGCAGCTCGCCCTTTCGAGCTACTGGCACGGTGCTGGCAGGCTGCTCCTGTGCGACGGGGATAGCCAAGCTATTCCTTTTCAGATATTTCAAGAAGGTTGCGGCCTTCTACCCCAGCGTGCGGCTGGGCAGCGTCGTCGACGATTTCACACTCCAGACTGTGGGCACCACGGGCATGGTGAAGGCGGTGCTAGGGCCCGCCATGCGCATGTTGCTGGGCTGCTTCGACGAGAAGCGGGTGCCCGTCCACTTCGGGAAGCTCTGCTACCTCACCCCTGACGCGGAGGTGGCGAAGCAGTTGGAGTCGGAGTGGCCCGCCGAGGACGGCAGGGCGCAGCGTGGCAGGCTGCTGGGCAACGACGTTCACGACGGGCGCTGGAGGCGCACCGCCATCGGGGCGCAGCGCGTCGAGGACGCACTGGCAAGGTCTCGGAGGCTGCAGGTCCTGAGGTCAGCGGGGGCCAAGGTCGCCACGGTGCAGAGGGGCGGCCCCACGGCAGCTGCCACCTGGGGCTCGGCCACGACTGGCCTCGCCCCTTCAGTTCTGCACGGGCTTCGGGTAGCTGCAGCGCGTGGCGAAGGGCCCCTTGCGCCAGGCGCATCTGTCGGCCTGCAGCTGAGGTGCTTCCCCAAAGGCATCGATAGGGACCCAGCGGTGGTGAACGCTGGCCAGGTCGTGCTGCAGTTCGGCATGGCGCTCTGGCTGGGCGACCCCACTCCGTTCGCCCTCACCACGCTGCTGGAGAAGGCCCAGCATCGGTTCTCGACGGCGAAGCGGCCCTGGGCAACTTGCAGAGACCCCGTGGCAGCCTTTTTCCTCACCATCAGCAGGCTAGGCTGGTCCATCGAGGGCGGCAGGCACGTCACTACCGACCAGGGGTTGGAGGTCGACCTAGCCAGGGTCTCGCCCTACTTCAGCAAGGAGCTGGCAGAGGGAGCGGCCAAGAGGTGGTCCGACCGCGACGCCACCTACAGGCTGTGCCCCCACCAGAGCTCGGAGCTGCACTGGGGCTCGCTGCAGAGGCTGGGCAGGACCAAGGAGTCGCTCGGCTGGCAACAACACCAGCGGGCGGCCCTCCACTCGGTCATCTCAGGCACGGTCCTCTCTCAGACGCGGCTCTACAAGAGAGGGATGGCCTCCGAGTGGGACTGCCTCATGTGCAGGGGCGCCCCTGGCACGCTCTGGCACAGGCTGTACGGCTGCGACGGTCACGCGGCCTTTCGGAAGGACGAGGCCTCGCCCGAGCTCCTTCGACACGCAGTGGTGGCTCGGGCTGCAGGAGGCAACTGCGGCGAGATGTTCGGCAGGTGCCTCTTCCCGTCGCTCGACCACGTGATCCCGAGGCGCGACCCCGATGGAGATCCAGTTCGCTGGTATCGGCGCCCAGCATCGGGGTACCTCACCGGCTTCATTTTCACGGACGGCAGCGCGGCCGGCACGCGGTGGCCAGAGTTGCAGCGCGCTGGCTGGTCGCTCGCTCAGTGCGACAGGCATGGGCGCCTGATAGCTGCAGCATGGGGATGGGTGCCCCTCTCCATGGCGCCGCGGCAGGAGGCGCGGGATGGCGAGGACTACGCGTTCCACATGGCGGCCTTCCTCTGCGAGGGCCACGTCGACTTCCAGACGGACTGCGCAGGGACGGTTGCCTGCGCCCAGAGGGGAGCTGCATGGGCATGCCGCCCAGGGTCGGCGAGGGCCCACATGTGGAATGCGTTCTACGCCTCCTTCGACGGCTCGCGCAGCTACACGGTCACCAAGGCGCTGGCCCACGCCACCGCCGCCGACGTGGAGGCGGACCGCACAACCTGGTGGCAGCGGGCAGGCAACAGGCTCGCCGACGAGGCAGCGAAGGAAGGAGCGAAGCTGGCGCTGGCTGACGATCAGCTGGACTTAGCCTACGGCCTCGACCTCATCGCAAGGCAGGCGATGATCTTCACGGGCAAGCTCCATGCGCGCATGGCGGATCGGAAGCTGCTCGATCATGCCAGCGACGTCATCCTGGAGCTCTCGGAGCTTGAGGCGGGCTACGAGGAGCATGAGACCAGCGGGGGCCACGCCGCAGAGGCCTCCTGGGGGGCTGCTGGCGCGGCGGCTGTGGCCCTGGCTGCTGCGCGGGCCGCGGCGGAGGGCGACGAGCCCCCTGCAGCTCGACGGCCTCGGCGGCCTTGGACGATCGGAGGCCACTCCATCGTCGAGCGCGCCGTCGCGGGGCCTGGCACCGACGGCGCCACCATGGTCCACTTCGTGAGGTGCTACGCCTACGCCCACCAGCGCATGCAGGGCATCCTGGGGCCGCGCGGCACGGGGGCTGGTCGTGAGCCACAGATCGATAGGATTCGCAGAGGGCTGTTCCCTAACGTGAAGGGCGGCCGTGGAGCCTGGCGCCTCGGGGAGCAGCGTTTTCCCCCCGAGGCCTGGCGCACGAAATTCAGCCAGAGGCTTTCGCCCGCCGCCGCCCCCGAGGCCAGCAGGGCCACGGGCAGCGGGCAGCAGGGCCCTGCTCAGCGCCTGCCCCGCTCGCGTGCGCTGTTGCGTTTTGGGGTCGGGCCCGAGCAGGAGGCCGACTTCCTTTCTTGGTCGGCCAGGCAGCGAGGCGATCGGAGGTCCAAGGGAGACCCCGACGAGCTCGAAGGGGAGGCTTCCGACTAAGAGGGTTGGAGGCGCCCCTCTCTTCTCTTGCGGCGCAGAGGCTAGCACTGCGCTGTAGGCCTCTGCAGGCTCGGAGAGGCCCCAACTTGGAGGGTTGGGGGCCCTTCGGCCTCTAGGGGGCTCCGACAAGGTCTCGGGGCCCGCGAGGCTCTGCTCTAGAGTGCCCCTGGCGCCCTGAGCTGGGCTGGACGGCCCTTCAGGATGGGGGTTGGCTCGGGTCGGCCAACCCCCCACCTGGCGTGTAGCGAGGCGGTACTACCACTACTACTACGACGATGACTACTACCACTTTGTATACTACTAATACTACTGCTACGACTACTACTACGATTACTGCTACTTCTACGATTACTACTACTACTACTACTACTACGACTACTACTACTACTACTACTACTTCTACTACTACGACTACTACTACGACTACTACTACGACTACTACTACTACTACTACTACTACTACTACTACTACGACTACTACTACTAGTACGGCTACTGCGACGGATACTACTACTACTACGAATACGCCTGCTACTACTACTACTACGACTACTACCACTCGTACTAGTATTGCTACAACTACGACTACTACTACTACTACTACTACTACTACTACTACTACTACTACTACTACTGCGACTGATACTAATATGTGTTCACCACGACTGCTAGTACTACTACTACCACTACTACTCCTACTACTACCACTACTACTACTACTACTACTACTACTACCACTACTACTACTACTAGTACTAGTACCAGTACTACTACTACTACTACTACTACCACTACTACTACTACTACTACTGCTACTGCTACTACTATTACTACTGCGTCTAATACTATTACTACGACGGCTACTACTACTACGACGACGACGACTACTACTACTACTACTACTACAACTGCTACTAGGAGTACGACTACTACTACTACTACTACTACTACTACTACTACTACTACCACTACGACTACTACTACTACTACTACCACTACTACTACTACTACGACTACTACTTCTGCTACTACTACTACTACTACTACGACTACGACTACGACTGCGAATATTACGAAAACTAGTACTACCACGACTACTACTATTACTACTACTACTACTATTACTACGACTACTACTACTGCTACGACTACTGCTACTGCTACTACTTCTACTAGTACTGCTGCTACTACTACTACTACTACTACTACCACGACTACTTCTACTACGATCACTATTGTTACGATTGGGACCACTACTATTATTACTACTACGGCTGCGTCTACTAGTGCTGCTACTACTACTACTACGACTACGATTACTACTACTACTACGACTACTACTACTACTACTACTACTACCACTACGACTACTACTCTTACTACTATTACTACTACTACTACTACTACTTCTACTACCACTACTACTACTAGTACTAACTAACTACTACTACTACCTACTACTACTACTACTACTACTAACTACTACTACGACTACTACTACTACTACTACTACTACTACTACTACTACTACTACTACTACTACTACTTACTACTACTAAACTACTACTACGACTACTACTACTACTACTACTACTACTACTACTACTACTACTACTACTACTACTACTACTACGACTACTACTACTACTACTACTAATACGACGACTATACTACAACGGCTACGGCGACGATTACTACTACGACTACGAAGGCGATCCCTGCGACCACTACTACTACTACTAAA